TCCAAGGTCCTTGCTAGCAAGAGCTATTTATTCCTTCTCTGTTTGTACCTGAATATAGTGAAATGGATTCAAGCGAATTCCTCCCTTCCTGGAATTTCATTTCTACGCGGTGAGACGGGGGAATGCTACCCGAGTCAACGCTAGTACGCTAGCACTCCAACGCTAGGCTAACGCTGTCCGACCCATAACTTCGTAATGGCAAAACATTTCGCGAGGCAACTTGGCTTATTTTAAAGCTCTTAGGGTGAGCTTCGATATAGTAAATTGTCAGCTTAATCTGATCGACGGTCTGCACGATACGCTAAGCGACGTTCAAGGTACTCTTGCTGTTTTGACTAAGTCCCTCTTGATCCCTCTCTCTACAAACTCGGACCCGAGGATAGGGGCTGGTCTTGTACCAGGCACCCAAGGACCCTTGGAGGTGACCCCGAGGAGAGGTTTTAAAGTGTGATAAAGTCTAAATAGCTTGAGTTTATTAGGCCCTTACACCAACAGGTGGGGCCGCTGCCGGTGCCAAGGCACAAGGGGGAGCGGTATTTCCTAACCATAGTGGATGACTGGAGCAGGCTAATGTGGGCGTATCCGCTGAAGCAGAAAGATCACGCCGCCTCCACGATTCGGGACGATTGGCTGCCGTTCGTGAAGAAGCAAGCGGAGTGTGTGGTGAAGCGGATTAGGACAGATCGGGGTGGTGAGTTCCTTGGAGCTGAGATGACGGCCTGGCTCAAGAAGCAGGGCATCTAGAGGGAGCTGACCACGGCTTACAACCCACAGTCCAACAGTGTAGCAGAACGGGTGAACCGGACAATTCTGGAGACAGCTAGGGCGCTGCTCATATAATCTGGGCTGGGCAACTTGATGTGGCCCCATGCTGTTCGGCACGCTACCGTCGCTAGGAACAGGGTACTCACAAAGGTTGGGGATGACTCGTGGGTGCCGTTGGAGAGGTGGCTTGGGAGGAAGCCGCCGGTGGACATGCTGAGGGTGTCTGGTTGCATGGCAGTCGCCCACGTCCCCAAGACCTACCGCAGTAAGTTGGGGGCGAGTGCAATCTGGTGTGTGCATTTGGGGCTGGCTGCTGAGAGCAAGGGATGGCTGCTGTGGGAACCTTCCAAGGGTGTGTTGTTTGACAGCAGGGATGTGAAGTTTGTTGAGGGCATGGTGTATGGGAGCTGGGAGAAACAGCCGGAGGCCAGGGTGTCCCAGCAAATGGAGCAGATCATTGTGCAGCTGGACCTGACTCCAAGTGTGTGGGAGGAGGGAGAGGAGGCAGCTGTAGAGGGTGGTCATGGAAATAAGGTACAAGAGGCACCTGCTGGTTCAGAAAATGATGTGGAGACTGGCACTAGTGGAGCTGCTGGATCTGAGGGGAGAGAGCAGCAGCAGGGGAAAACTAAGAAGCCGAAGGGTGTCGTTATAAAGGGATGGGAGACACCTGTCTCCAGGCCAGGACGTACCCGTATGGCTACTAAGAAGCTGACTGCAAGAGCTGATCTAGCGGAGCAGCAGCTTGGGACCGAGGAGGCATTGCTGATTCTACGGCATGGCTATGATCTGGATGAGGAGGATGAACCTGCCTACTGTTTTCTTGCCCCTGCACCAGAGGAACCAGCTAGCACGGAGGAGGCATTAGCTGGACCAGATAGGGAGAAGTGGCTGGTTTCCAGGGATGCTGAGTACCAGAGCCTGCTAGAGAATGGGACATGGGAGCTGGTGGTGCTGCGTGAGGGGAAGAAAGCCGTACAGTGCAAGTGGGTGCTAAGGATCAAGACCGATGACAAGGGACAGGTCACCATCTACAAGAGTAGGCTGGTGGCTAAGGGGTTTATGCAGAAGGAGAAGCGGGACTTCAATGAGATCTTTGCTCCAACTGCCAAACCTAACCTCCGTGTCTTGTTGGCAGATGCAACCGTTAGTGGGAAATTCATCATTCATATGGATATATCAACGGCATTCCTCAATGGTATTTTAGAGGAGGATTTGTACATGACGCAGCCACCTGGGTATGAGGATGGTACGGGCAGGGTGTGCAAGCTGAAAAAGTCCATCTACAGCTTGAAGCAGGCGCCACGCTGCTTGTACCAGAAGTTGGCAGCTGCTTTAGAGGAGATGGGATTCAGGACCAGCAGCTGTGATGAGAGCCTCTTTCTCAAGAGGGAGGGGGAGAAGCTGGTGCTGTTTCCGGTCTATGTGGACGACATTCTTCTCTTTAGCAGCAGCATGAAGGAGATCCAGAAGGTGCAGCAGCAGCTGATGGAGAACTTCAACTGCAAGAACCTTGGGGAGGTAAAGTACTACCTCGGGATGCACGTGGAGAGGGATCTGGATCACAGGTGGTTGAAGCTGCACCAGGAGAAGTTCATCAAGGAGCTTGGGGAGAAGTACGGAAATGAGAATGAGCGCAAGGTTGCAACTCCCCTGCTAGCAGAATTCAAGCTTGTGAAAGCTGTAGAGGATGAAGGGGTTGAAGTCGAAGAGCAGCAGCAATTTCAGTCCTTAGTGGGCAGCCTCTTGTATGCAGCAGTTCACACGAGGCCCGACATCTCTTTCTCGGTTGGGCAGCTGGCCAGGGTGGTGCCGAATCCATCAGAGGAGCAGGTGGATGCAGCTGAGCGTGTGGTGAAGTATCTGAACTCTCACCCAAGCATTGGAGTTCAATACTCCGCATCTGCACAGGTGAAGCAGAAAGGGGTTGAGGTGCTGAAAGAGAAGAGGGAGAGGCTTGGAGAAGGCAAGCTCTTTCTCACTTGCTTTACCGATCCTACGTGGGCCTCTGAGAAGGAGGATTCCTCATTAGTGGGAGGATACATCTGCGTAGTTGGAGGTCAAAGAAGCAGACGGAAACAGCACTCTCTTTTGTGTAATCAGAGTACATGGCGATGTTCTATGGGGTGAAGGAGGTGATTTGGCTGAGGAGGCTGTTAGAGGAGATTGGCCAGGAGCAAAAGGTTGCTACGCCACTGTTTTGTGATAGCAATGGAGCTCTTGGGATGGCCTGGAGCGCTGTGCTTCATGGGCTGAACAAGCACATGCGTATCAAGTGGCACTCGCTGCGTAAGGAGGTGAAGAGGGGGACGGTGAATCCGATCTACATCAAGACTCACCAGCAGCCAGCAGACTTCCTTACCAAGAGTCTTGCAGATGAGCTTATTAGCGTTGTGTGCGCATGAGTGGAATGAGCATGAACTAGTATGGAATGATGCGGATGCAGCCGGCAGGCTGAGGGGGAGTGTGTTCGGTGCAAATTCACATTGTACGACATTCTGCCGTCTGTTTGTACGAGTATGCGGGTGCGAATGCATTTGGGTATGAATGGAATGTTCGTGTGTTTGTTTGCTTTCGCAATTTTCGCTTGAAGCATTTGCAGGTACTCGCGCATTGTGCGCTTCGGCATAACATTGTACGCGCTATGAACAGTACAAGCAGAAAGGACGAGCTCGCAAAGGAACCCAAGATGGAAGCTTTGCGGTTCGGTTACTTGATTTCGCAGATTCAGTTCTATCCAACTCGAAATTGTACTGTTTTGTTTGGTTGACTATAGTGTAGCAGGGCAGGCACTATAGGGGTACAATTTAGGTGAAGGTTGGATGTTGTTTGTCTGTATCTGCATGCTACAGGGCCAGGGGAAACCAGCGGAACCGGCATTTGGCTGGTTGGGCAAAGACAAAACAGGTTCTGTTTTTAGGACCTGAACCTGGTTGTTGTTTTCCCATGTTGGAAAAACAGAACCAGAGGTTGTTTACCAACCTACCACCTGCAGTTTTGTCCAGCCAGGTTGGTTCTGTTGCTTGGAATTATTTGAGATCATCCTTGGTTGTTCCCAGGTTTATTCCTAAGGTCCTTGCTAGCTAGAACTATTTATTCTTTCTCTGTTTGTACCTGAATATAGTGAAATTGATTCAAGCGAATTCCTTCCTTGCTGGAATTTCCCTTCTATGCGATGCGACGGCGGAATGGTACCCGAGTCAACGCTAGTACGGTAGCACTCCAACGCTAGGCTAACGCTGTCCGAGCCATAACTTCGTAATGGCAGAACTTTTCGCGAGGCAATTTGGTTCATTTTAAAGCTCTTGGAGCGAGCTTCGATATAGGAAATTCTCAGCTTAATCCGATTTACGGTCTGCACAATACGCTGCGCGACGTTCAAGGTACTCTTGCTCTTTTGAATAATTCCCTCCTGATCCCTCTCTCTACAAACTCGGACCCGAGGATAGGGGCTGGTCTTGTACCAGGCACCCAAGGACCCTTGAAGGTGACCCCGAGGAGAGGTTTTAAGTTTGATAAAGTCTTAATAGCTTGAGTTTATTAGGTCCTTACACCAACACTCCCGACACAAGGCAAGCATGTCCGTGTTGTCTACGTACAGAACTGGAGGAGAACGAGGCGGCTCTCCTAGGTCAGTCAGCAGGTAGGTGAGCCAGCGTAACTTCTATGCAGCCATTGCCCCCGCGTAGATCTCAGCCTCACAGCTGGAGCCGAGAACAGAAGATGAGCGGGTAGACCGCCACGAAACAGAGCCGCAGCCAAGGCTGAAGATGTAACCCTGTGATGACCGCTGCGTAGCCTGGTCGTCAGCCCAATAAGCGTCAGCGTGACCTGTGAGGACCAGTCGACGTCACCCTCCAAGTACTAGCCCCATGCCCGACGTACTGCACAAGTAGCGCAACACCCTCTTCGCTGCAGCCATATGCTCTGGTCCGTGTCTCCTAGGAGCAACATAGCGTGCCAAGATGGTAAGAGGGTATGCGAGGTCAGGTCGTGTGCAGGTCATCAGGTACATGAGGCAGCCAACAAGCTCTGGGTACGGGCCAATCGGCTCTACGGACTCATCCGAAGGCAGAGCTGAGAGCGAGTGGCGAGTAGACAGAGGAGTGGCCTGAGGCGAGGAGTACGTGAAGTCGAAGTGCTGAAGAACCTGCTGCACCATGTGTGACTGAGTCAGGATAATGGTGCGCTGTGCTCTCTTCCGGGTGATCTGCAAGCCAAGGTAGCTGCGCAGTTCACCCAGGTCTGTACACGCGGGCGAGTCCAGCTGTGTCTGCAGTGGCAAAGACCAAGTCGTCGACGTACACGAAGATGTAGAACGATGGCAAAGAGGTGTCGGTGCGCAGAAACAGCGACGGGTCGGCAGTAGAAGGAACAAACCCAAGAGCCGCAAGTGTAGTCCTCAGTGTCGTGTGCCACTGATGGGGCGCCTGGGGGAGACTGTAGACTGGCCGCCGGAGGCTCCAGTGGGTACCAGGAGGAAACGACCCAGTAAAGCCAGGTGGGCGGCGCAGCCAGATCTCCTCGTGCAGGCTGCCGTCCAGAAAAGCTGTGCTTAAGTCAAGAGAGTGAAGCTCGTATTCGCGCTGAGCGGCTATGTGCAGCAGCACCCGAAGAGAGGTCATCGTCGGGGTGGGGGAGAAGGTATAAAAGTAGTCAACTCCCTGCCGCTGACTGAAGCCTTGAGCCACGTAACGCGCCTTGAAGACAGGCGGAGAACCCGGCGGCCGCTTTACCCTGAAAATCCACACGCCACTGATGATGTTCGCCCCAGGTGGGGGAACCTCGTCGACGTAGGTGCCTGTGGACTTCCATGAAGCCATCTCTGCGTCCATAGCTGCCTGCCACTGAGAGGAGTAGGGACTCTCGATTGCCTCAGCGTACGATCGAGGAGTGGGGATGTTTGGAGCATCCGGGTCTCCCTCAGGGGCAATCAGTGTAGACACGAGATGAGGCAAAGCAGCAGCAAAACAGTGGAACTCCTCCAGCGTGTCCTCAAGGATGTGCGTGCTAAGAGCACACTCACCCCCGACGGAAGGAGGACAGTCAAACTCAGACTCAGCAACAAGACAAGCGACGTAGTCTAAACGACAGCGAGCAGCAAAGTCAACAAGCTCAGCAACTAAGGCAGACGCAGCAATGGACTCAAAAGAAGGGTCAGTGACAACAGTAGCCAGGAGACACGTGACGGTAGGAATGGCAGCACGAAGAGAGTCAGGCTCCGGGTCAGCAAGGACAGGAAGAGAGGACTCTGGAGGAGACGGCAACGGGACACGCAGAGGAGCAGTGGACGGACGCAGTGCCATCTGGTGTGTGCCAAGGACGGCAAGAGGACATGGACGCGGAGCATGACTACTAGTGCGAGCAATATGAACGGGCGACGCAGGACGAGACGCAGGCTCACGACGCTCAGCAAGACCTCCAGTAGGACCAGTGTAGGGAGAAGGAGCAGGTAGGGGGGAGGCGGGCTGTAACTATGACCACGAGTGGACAGGCTGTGGACCCTCTAAGTCAGGAGCAGGACAAGTAGAGGGCGGGAGACCAAGAACCTGCTAAAAGAGTGGAACGAAGTATGGCCTCGGCCGCACAGCGCCTCTAGAACCAGCAGGGACAGCACTAGTACCCCTAGCGGCAGCACCAGCGCCAACAGCATCTCCAACTCCAACAGCGCCAACTCCAGTACCCTCAGAAGCACAAGCGCCAGCAGCACCACCAGCGCCAACATCCCCAGCAGTTCCAGCTCTTGTAGCTCCAACAGCTCCAGCAGCACCAACTCCACCAGGACTATCAGCTGCAGTACCGCCAGCAGCTCCAGCAGTACCTCCAGCAGGACTAACTCCAGCAGCCCTAGCAGCACCCCCAGTCCCAGCAGCTCTAGTACCGCTAGTACGAGCACCTCCAGGACCAGCAGCAACAGTAGTACCTCCAGCTCCAACAGCACGGCTCCAGCGCCGGGCAAACAACTCGCGCAGCTCCTGCCTTGACGAAGCACCGCCAGAGGCCAAATGAGCAGACCCAGCACCCCCAAGCTCCGCACCCCCAGGCTCCGTACCCCCAGGCTCAGCACCTCCAGGCTCCGCACCCCCAGGCGCTGTTGGTGTAAGGGCCTAAAAAACTCAAGCTATTAGGATTTTATCAAACTTAAAACCTCTCCTCGGGGTCACCTCCAAGGGTCCTTGGGTGCCTGGTACAAGACCAGCCCCTATCCTCAGGTCCGAGTTTGTAGAGAGAGGGATCAAGAGGGACTTAGTCTAAACAGCAAGAGTACCTTGAACGTCGCGCAGCGTATCGTGCAGACCGTCGACCGGATTAAGCTGAAAATTTCCTATATCGAAGCTCACTCCAAGAGCTTTAAAATGAACCAAGTTGCCTCACGAAACATTCTGCCATTACGAAGTTATGGCTCGGACAGCATTTGCCTAGCGTTGGAGTGCTACCGTACTAGCGTTGACTCGGGTACCATTCCGCCGTCGCACCGCGTAGAAACGAAATTCCAGCAAGGAAGGAATTCACTTGAATCAAATTGATTATATTCAGGTACAGAGAAGGAATATATAGTTCTAGCTAGCATGGACCTTGGGAATAAACCTAGGAACAACTAAGGATGATCCCAAATAATTCCAAGCAACAGAACCAACCTGGCTGGACAAAACAGCAGGTGGTAGGTTGGTAAACAACCTCTGGTTCTGTTTTTCCAACCTGGGAAAACAACAACCAGGTTCAGGTCCTAAAAACAGAACCTGTTTTTTCTTTGCCCAACCAGCCAAATGCTGGTTCCGCTGGTTTTTTCCTGGCCCTGTAGCCTGCAGATACAGACAAACAACATCCAACCTTCACCTAAATTGTACCCCTATAGTGCCTGCCCTGCTACACTATAGTCAACCAAACAAAACAGTACACTTTCGAGTTGGATAGAACTGAATCTGCGCAATCAAGTAAGCCAAACCGCAAAGCTTCCATCTTGGGTTCCTTTGCGAGCTCGTCCTTTCTGCTTGTACTGTTCATAGCGCGTACAATGTTATGGCGAAGCGCACAATGCGCGAGTACCTGCAAATGCTTCAAGCGAAAAATGCGAAAGCAAACAAACACACGAACATTCCATTCATACCCAAATGCATTCGCACACGCATACTCGTACAAACAGACGGCAGGATGTCGTGCAATGTGAATTTGCACCCAACACACTCCCCGTCAGCCTGCCGGCTGCATCCCCATCATTCCATACTAGTTTATGCTCATTCCACTGATGCGCACAAAACGCCAATGAGGCTCATCTGCAAGCCTCTTGGTGAGGAAGTCTGCTGGCTGCTGGTGAGTCTTGATGTAGATCGGATTCACCGTCCCCCTCTTCACCTTCTTACGCAACCAGTGCCACTTGATACGCATGTGCTTATTCAGCCCATGAAGCACAGCGCTCCTGGCCATCCCAAGAGCTCCCTTGCTATCACAAAACAGCAGCGTAGCAACCTTTTACTCCTGGCCAATCTCCTCTTACAGCCTCCTCAACCAAATCACCTCCTTCACCCCATGGAACATCGCCATGTACTCTGATTACACAGAAGAGAGTGCTGTTTCCGTCTGCTTCTTTGACCTCCAAATAACAGGTCCTCCTCCAACTACGCAGATCTATCCTCCCACAGATGAGGAATCCTCCTTCTCAGAGGCCCACGTAGCATCGGTAAAGCAAGTGAGAAAAAGCTAGCCTTCTCCAAGCCTCTCCCCCCTCTCTTGCAGCACCTCAACCCCTTTCTGCTTCACCTGTGCAAATGCGGGGTATTGAACTCCAATGCTTGGGTGAGAGTTCAGATACTTCACCACACGCTCAGCTGTATCCACCTACTCCTCTGATGGATTCGGCACCACCCTGGCCAGCTACCCAACCGAGAAAGAGATGTCGGGCCTCGTGTCAACTGCTGCATACAAGAGGCTGCCCACCAAGGACTGAAATTACTGCTGCTCCTCGGCTTCAACCCCTTCATCCTCTGCAGCTTTCACAAGCTTGAATTCTGCTGGCAGGGGAGTTGCAACTTTGCGCTCATTCTCAATCCCGTACTTCTCCCCAAGCTCCTTGATGAACTTCTCCTGGTGCAGCTTCAACTACCTGTGATCCAGATCCCTCTCCACATGCATCCCGAGGTAGTACTTTACCTCCCCAAGGTTCTTGCACTTGAAGTTCTCCATCAGCTGCTGCTGCACCTTCTGGATCTCCTTCATGCTGCTGCTAAAGAGAAGAATGTCGTCCACATAGACCAGAAACAGCACCAGCTTCTCCCCCTCCCCCTTGAGAAAGAGGCTCTCATCACAGCTGCTGGTCCTGAATCCCATCTCCTCTAAAACAGCTGCCAACTTCTGGTACCAGCAGCGTGGCGCCTGCTTCAAGCCGTAGATGGACTTTTTCAGCTTGCACACCCTGCCCGTACCATCCTCATACCCAGGTGGCTGCATCATGTACACATCCTCCTCTAAGATCCCATTGAGGAATGCCGTTGATATATCCATCTGAATGATGAATTTCCCACTAACGGTTGCATCTGCCAACAAGACACAGAGGGTAGGGGGTTTGGCAGTGGGAGCAAAGATCTCATTGAAGTCCCGCTTCTCCTTCTGCATAAACCCCTTAGCCACCAGCCTGCTCTTGTAGATGGTGACCTTTCCCTTGTTATCGGTCTTGATCCTTAGCACCCACTTGCACTGTACGGCTTTTTTCCCCTCAGACAGCACCACCAGCTCCCATGTCCCATTCTCTAGCAGGCTCTGGTACTCAGCATCCCTGGAAACCAGCCACTTCTCCCTATCTGGTCCACTTAATGCCTCCTCCATGCTAGCTGGTTCCTCTGGTGCAGGGGCAAGAAAACAGTAGGCAGGTTTATCCTCCTCATCGGGATCATAGCCATGCGGTAGAATCAGCAATGCCTCCTCGGTCCCAAGCTGCTGCTCCGCTACATCAGCTCCTGCAGTCAGCTTCTTAGTAGCCATACGGGTACGTCCTGGCCTGGAGACGGGTGTCTCCCATCCCTCCATAACGACACCATTTGGCTTCTTTGTTTTCCCGTGCAGCTGCTTTCTCCCTTCAGATCCAGCAGCTCCAATAGTGCCAGTCTCCACATCATTTTCTCCACCAGCAGGTGCCTCCTGCACCTTCTCTCCATCACCACCCTCTGCAGCTGCCTCCTCTCCCTCCTCCCACTCACTAGGAGTCAGGTCCAGCTGCATGGTGATCTGCTCCATCTGCTGGGACACCCTGGCCTCCGGCTGTTTCTCCCAGCTCCTATACACCATGCCCTCAACAAACTTCACATCCCTGCTGTCAAACAACACACCCTTGGAAGGTTCCCACAGCAGCCATCCCTTGCTCTTAGCAGCCAGCCCCAAATGCATACACCAGATTGCACTCGCCCCCAACTTACTGCGGTAGGTCTTGGGGACGTGGGCGACTGCCATGCAACCGAACACCCTCCGCATGTCCACCGGCGGCTTCCTCCCAAGCCACCTCTCCAACGGCACCCACGATTCATCCCCAACCTTTGTGAGTACCCTGTTCCTAGCGACGGTAGCGTGCCGAACAGCATGGGGCCACATCAAGTTGCCCAGCCCAGATTCTATGAGCAGCGCCCTAGCTGTCTCCAGAATTGTCCGGTTCGCCCGTTCTGCTACACCGTTAGACTGTGGGGTGTAAGCCGTGGTCAGCTCCCTCTGGATGCCCTGCTTCTTGAGCCAGGCCGTCATCTCAACTCCAAGGAAATCACCACCCCGATCTGTCCTAATCCGCTTCACCATACACTCCGCTTGCTTCTCCACGAATGGCAGCCAATCTTCCTGTATTGTAGAGGCGGCATGGTCCTTTTGCATCAGCGGATATGCCCACATAAGCCTGCTCCAATCATCGACTATGGTCAGAAAGTACCGCTCCCCCTTGTGTCCCTGAACCGGCAGCGGCCCCACCAAGTCCATGTGGACCAGCTCCAACGGCTTCTTGCTCCTGCCAGCCACACAAAGGCAAGGGAAATGGTTAAACTTTGAGAGCAAACATATTTCACAATTCTCATCAGGTGGCTGTCTATTCAGCTTCAGACCCTTAACGGCTCCATCCTTCTCCAACTGCTTCAGCAAGGGCATTTCCACATGGCCCAAGCGTCGGTGTGCCGTTGCCCAATCCATCTCCCCAGATCTGGCCAACACTTTCACATCAATCCCTCCAACAGCGTTGCTTTCCCCCTGGGATGCAGACCCCTCTCCAGCCTGCCCCCCACCATGCCACGCCAACGCTGGCAGCTGCCACATGGATCTGTACACGTCCGTACTCTTATGCAGATCCCAAAGCACCCGATTGCCCAGCTGCCCCTTGTAAGTGCGTGCTCCATCCGTGCTAGTGCTCACCCAAGACTTGCCAAGCTTACGGAGGGAGATGAGGTTGGCCTTGAGTTCAGGAACAAGAAGAACGTCGTGCAGCACCACCGGCTTGCCATCCGCTCCCTTAAACGCAGCTCGTCCCGCACCAGCCACCTTCAGCGCGTGTCCAGAGGCGGAGCACACCTCGTTGATCGGTGTAGCTCGTACGTGGTCCAGCAGGTCTTTTCGCGGCGTCATTGTCCAAGCAGCGCCCGTGTCCAACACCCAATAATCCAGGGGGTGCAGCTCTGCTCCAACCTTGGCAGAGGCGTCTCCTTGCTCCCCCTGCTCCCCCTGCTCTCCAATATGGAAGAACTGGCAAGCGGTGCGCTCCTTCTTCTTTTCCGCACCGCCGTTGCTCTTGGGGTTGTTGTCGGACGAATCAGCGACCATGCTCGCGCCGTTTTTCTGGTTCCTCCGCGCGCTGCCATCCTGGTGACGATTCTGGGGGGTCCATCCATCGGGTTTCTTATAGCACAAAAACCAGGGGTGCCCCTCCTTCTCACAATACCAGCAACTCCCTTTCATTTTGCCACCAGCACCCGACTTGCCCCCACGTCCAGATTTCGCACCGCGACCCCAACTGGTACCTCCTTGTTGGTCGTTGGAGTCGTCGTCCTTCTTTGCACCGCGTCCAGCACCACCGAAGCCACGTCCTCTGCCACGTCAGTTCCCTTGCATTCTGTAGCCGCTGCTGCCATCGTCTCCACCCCTCAGTTGACGGCGACGGAAGTCCTCGTCTAGAATCTTTGTCAGGACCCACTCAAGAGTCCACGAGCTCTGGTTCTGCGGCAGGCTCAATCCGCTCGTGAATTGAAGCCACGATTTCGGCAGCAGCGAGAGCATCTTCAAACTCTTGGTCTGCTCCGGGTAGGTGATTCCCGCGGTCGCCAACTTCGCGTAGAGGTCGCGCAATTTGTCCAGGACAGGTTGCACCGGCTCTCCCTCGCTCAAGCGCAACGCGGACAGCTCCCTCTCCAGCATCAATGTTGCAACAACGGAGGTCGGGGCGTGCAGCTCCTTCAACACCGTCCACGCCTTCGGACCGCACTCAACCTCCGGCAGCAGGTGCATGACGTGGTGACGCTGGTTCAGCTCCAAACTCTAAGACATCAAATAGTAGCCAGCCGAGGAGCGCTCGTCCCAATCTTCCTGCAGCGCGGGGTCACTCGGTCTAGGCTGCTCCCCAATAATTAGTTTCAGCAATCCAATCTGACGGAAATAGAGTTACATTTTCCAGGCCCAATCATCATAGCCCTCACCATTGAACTTCTCGACGGTGAAATTGTTCAGCACCTCCTTGACCAGCAAGCCCTGGTTTGTTCGTGCTCCCCTTGGTGCTGAAACACCAGAATCATGGCTGCCGCTATGATCTTGGGCTGAAGATTCACCAGCTCCTGTCAAAGTGTTGCCCGCCAAAGCTACCTATATCGAGGAACACTATAACGCAGCTCTGATACCAGCTTGTTGGTGTAAGGGCCTAATAAACTCAAGCTATTAAGACTTTATCAAACTTAAAACCTCTCCTCGGGGTCACCTCCAAGGGTCCTTGGGTGCCTGGTACAAGACCAGCCCCTACCCTCGGGTCCAAGTTTGTAGAGAGAGGGATCAAGTCAAAACAGCAAGAGTACCTTGAACGTCGCGCAGCGTATCGTGCAGACCGTCGACCGGATTAAGCTGAGAATTTCCTATATCGAAGCTCGCTCCAAGAGCTTTAAAATGAACCAAGTTGCCTCGCGAA